CTTCCTTCCACCACCCAACAACCCACTCCAAGCTAGTCTCTCTGGACTCTCTTCCCTCAACTGTACGTGTAAAAGCTTGTTTCCAGCTTTAGCGCAACGGATGCACGTTCATTACCTTTCTTCCTTCCCCAGGGCCACCTGTGTTTCTTCACTCAATCGATCCCTGGTGCATTCTCAGTTCAGACCTGACCTGTGCCCCTCTGAGTAAAGCTTCATCTGGGATAGCAATGGGTTCATCCCTGCCTTCTGAGGTCTTCAGATTCATTTTTTATGGACGAGAAAAATCCAGGACTTCCCTACTCAGTGTTCTGCTTATTGACCTTGCTTTTAAAAAAAATGCTGGATGCCAAAAAAACTCTGATTAAGCTTCAGTCTGAATACGTTGAAGAGGAAAACTCATGAAATTCCTGCTACATCACCAAGGGACGGGAAAAGAAAAGACTGCTTCCTATGAAGAGAAGCCCTAGAAGGTTATGGAATAACCACTGTATAGTCAGGATTAAAATGTGTACCAGGTTTACACCTTCTTGACTGCTTCTCTGATTGTGAAGCCTGAAGCCGAAGCTGGTGTGAATGCACAACCTCTTCCTGAGGGTTCCAGGTTAGTAACTAAAGAGGCGAGTACTCAGAGCCCTGGCGAACTTTTCTGTCTGTTTGTTTGTTGTTTGCTTGTTTGTTTGAGACAGTGTCTCCCTAAAGCCTTAGCTGCCTGGAACTCACTATGCAGATCAGGCTGGCCTCAAAGTCACAGAGGTCCACCTCTGTATAACTTTTCTTGGTCCCTGATTCCAACTGTAACCCACTAGGAGATCGTGATGCAAGTTTAGTGGGTTGTAACATTTGAAAAAAAAAAATAAAACATGATAAAATAAAGTTGAAAATATATTATATACAGTAAAAACTGTCCTGCAGAACTTTAAGTTAGATAACATGTTTTCCTTAAAATAGATTGAAAATTTAGAGTGAATTATGGTGGAAATGCTTGAAAGTTGCTATTTTATGCATATTTATAAAAATAAGAACCAGGAAAAGCTCTTAATAATCAGTAAGAGCATTCCTAGATAATATGACTCTTATTCACATGAGTTCACAAGTAAGGAGACTTGAAATGCACATGAAGTGGTCAAATATGAATTCTTTTTAAAAGCCCTGTACCAACCAGGATGGTGACACATGCTGTAATCCCGGCGCTTAAGAGATGGAAGCAGGAAGCTCAGAAGTTCAAGGTCATCCTTGGCTATATATAGTGAGTTTGAGATCAGCTTGGGCTACATGAGACCTAGCCTCAGAAAAAGGAAGAGAGGAAGAGATGGGGCGGGGGGAGAATGAGGTCACCTTTTCATGTTTTCTCAACACATATACAAAATCTAATCTAGAAAGTAATGAACCCCTGCTTTAAAATGCCTGTTTTAAATAGTCCTCAAAACACTAATAGAATCCCTGCATCTTTACAGGAAGGTAAAACTCCAGACCTTAGGATCCTAAATACATTTGATTGAGAATACATAGATTCTTATTCTAAATCTAATACATTGTTGGCCCCTCAGCAGGTATGTAGAACATTTCAAATGACAGAGTGACATATCCCTAATGCACTGATTTGCATCTGCTACTGGAAAAACATATTCAAAAAAAGATGCAGGCACTGTAAGTTACAATGAAGAGCTGGCACTTTTTTAGCAACAAGGAAATTAAGGTGGTTGAGTTAGAAGAAACATGGATGGTTACTATAATCATATGAAAAAGATAAAAAGAGAAGCCTGGAGTCGGACCTGTTAAGCAGACAGAAGAAGATGGGCAACAAATAAAGTCAACAGAAAGTAAAGCTCGGGAAAGTAAATTATAACTATTCTGAAAGGAGGCAGCATCTAGAGGCATTCTTTTATTACCTAATGTCATATAGCCATTTCCTACTGAAGGGAAGAAGCTCAGAAAGTTACAAGACTCACAGTGCCCCTCCCTGTGGCTACATAAGCAGTAAACAATTGCTGGGGGAGAGAAGACTCCAGTGCAGATGCCTGCTCGTGTGGGAACTGCAGTGATGCAGCTTTCATGAGCCATTACCCATATTCGGTAATGCTTTTTGGTTCTACAGCTGCCTTTGAGTAACCTATGCACCTGTAAGTAACCCCAGCAAGTTCACCAAGATGCTCCTGGGTGAACCCACTTCTTTTGACTATTAGCAGTGTCCTACCCACTTCTTTTGACTATTAGCAGTGTCCTACCCAGAATGACTAGACATTGGTTCACATCTCTTTGGGAAAAGACACACCACAACTGACCACACAAACTTATTGGACATTGTGACACAGACATTTGTTCTATGCAGGGCCTGGAGAGAGCTCTATGTAAGGAAATTATGACAAAAACTCTCCTACCTAGGACATACAGGGCATGAATAGAATGGACCGTTGGTCTGGGAAAATGCATTTCATTTTGTTTTCCATTTCACTTGTTTTCCTCAGATTCTTTCTGTCCACTTCAGAACGCCAATTCCGTTCTCACCCCAGTTACTCTTTTTCACCTTGAGATTCAAGCTTTCTTCAACGATGAAAAATAAAACTGTGTTGACTGAGTTCATCCTTCTGGGTCTCACGGATGTCCCTGAACTTCAGGTAGCAATTTTCACTTTTCTTTTCCTTGCCTATTTCTTCAGCATCATCGGAAACCTGGCTATCCTCATCCTCACACTGCTGGACTCCCACCTTCACACTCCCATGTATTTCTTTCTCCGGAACTTCTCCTTCTTAGAAGTTTCTTTCACAAATATCTTCATTCCCAGAGTCCTGGTCAGCATTATAACAGGGGACAAGAGTATTAGTTTTGCTGGTTGCTTTACTCAGTATTTCTTTGCCATCTTCCTTGGAGCAACAGAGTTTTACCTTCTGACTGCCATGTCTTACGATCGCTATGTGGCCATATGCAAACCCCTGCACTACATGACAATCATGAACAGCCGAGTCTGCACCCAGCTGGTCCTCTGCTCTTGGCTGGCTGGGTTAATGGCTATTATACCGCCAATCACTTTGATGAGTCAGCAGGACTTTTGTGCATCCAACAGGGTGAATCATTACTTCTGTGACTTTGAGCCTCTTCTAGAACTCTCCTGTTCAGATACAAACCTCATAGAGAAGGTTGTCTTTCTTTTGGCCTCTGTGACCCTGATGGTCACTCTGGTGCTGGTGGCTCTCTCCTACACATTCATCATCAGGACAATTCTGAAGCTCTCCTCAGTCCAGCAAAGGACAAAAGCCTTTTCCACGTGTTCTTCTCACATGATTGTCATCTCCCTCTCTTATGGAAGCTGTTTTTTCATTTATGTTAAGCCTTCGGCAAAAGAAGGGGGCACATTCAACAAAGGTGTAGCTCTTCTCATTACTTCAGTAGCTCCTTTGTTGAACCCCTTCATTTATACCTTAAGAAACCAACAGGTAAGACAAGCATTCAAGGATGCAGTCAAAAGGCTTGTGAATCTTTAAAGAATTTAAGAATTTCTCTTAATGGATGAAGTCCAACAATGTACAAAGCTCTCTGGTACTACATACCCAATTAAGAGTTCAACTCCAGCCCTTTGAAACTTGGAAATAAAGTCAACCTGTTAAGTGTTAATATAAGGAATAAGATTTTTACAACTGAAAAAGCAACTGAGTACTCAACTGAGCAGCTCAGTCTGAATTAGCTCCAATAAATACCTTCACGGGGATTCCACTTAAACTAGGTCTTCACAAGTAGAAATAAGAAAGGAAAGAACAAAATGGAAAAGAGAAGTTAAGATAGAATTTTGGGGCTGGAGAGATGGCTCGGTGGTTAAGAGCACTGACTGCTCTTGCAGAGGACCCGGGTTCAATTCCCAGAACGTACATGGTGGCTAACAACCATCTGTAATTCCAGTTCCAAGGAATCCAATATCTTCTTCTGACCTCTGCAGGCATTGCATGACATGGGTACACTTACATACATGCAGGCAATACACTCATACACATAAACAAAAGAAAAAGAAAATAAATAAAATATTTTTTAAATGATATAAGGAATATTTTGAATAGGCACACCAAATTTTAATTCAAGGAACTGAATAAATTTTATTGTGACTAATTTCAATCAGAACAAAAGGAATAAGAAAAGGTAATGAAGGTCATAATGTTTTGAACTAAATTAAATCCTCGTTTAAAATAAGTTAAATGTTCATAGTATTCATGTATCAGAACTGGGACCAGACGCATGGATTTAGTTATTTCCATTTTATAGCATTTACATTGTAGATGATAATTGATTATGTAGAAATGACTGCTTGCAAAGGACCTGGTTCAGTTCCCAGAACCAACAAGACAGATAACAACCACCTATAACTCCAGTTGCAGGGGATCTGACATCCTCTTCTTGTCCTCTGTGAGCACTGCATTTATGTGGTGCACTCATATCCATGCAGACAAAATACTCATATACGTAAAATAAAAATAAATTAATTTTTTAATTTTTAAACTCAAAGGATCCTTCCAAATTTAAGGAGTAGAAGAGACAAAATAATAATAATTAGATAATCAATGGAAATTCAGGGGAAGGGAAGGTCTCAGGAAACAGGTTGCTAGGTGATGTGAAATGTTACCAAGGGCGAGTGACATGAAGACTGTAAGTATGAGAACGGGCAATTATGGTTTCATTGCTGACCTTAACCGTCCAGATGCAGAAATTGGAAATGGAATAAGAAATCAGACTTCAGTGGGTTCCTGGTGAGTGGGAGCTAGAAAGGAAGAGTGTGATTAAGTGAAGCTGTAAAATATAGGAATGAAGGAATAATGATCCCCCCAAATTATACTTCCTGACAGTCTCCTGTGCCTTCTCATTTGCCATGTATCATAATTAGGGCTACGTATTTAAAGTATGCACCCCCTTAGTCTGTAAGGCCAAGGAATGTAGGAATAATCTGTTCTTGATCACAATGGTATCTGTGAGGCAAAGCAATGGTAGAGACGATAAATTGCTGTTGAGCTGATAAATAGTGGATTATCAGATGGATTGATGAGCAAATAATCCTGATGGCGACCAAAAGAGAATCGAAGGAAAGAGATTAATCAGTTCATAATTTATAACTTGGGACTGGAGAGATGGCTCAGCGGTTAAGAGTACTTGCTGCTCTTGTAGAGAATCTAGGTTTGGTTCCCAGCACTCACATGTCAGCTAACAACCATTGGTAACTCCAGTTCCAGGAAATCTGACACTGTCTTCCGGTCTCTGTGAACACTGCACACATGGGTGCACTTACATACAGGCAAAACACTCATACACATAGAAACAATAATAATAATCCCGACACTAATGATCTAGCAAGGGATGCTTTATATAGACTTCTTAGATCTACTTGAAAATTCTACCGTTTTACAAATGGAGAAAGTGAAGCTTAAACAAGTGAAATATCCTGCGCAAGATCACACAGAATCCAAAGTCAAACCTGTCCAGTGCCAAAGCCCACCTGCTCAGTACTAAGCCATGCCATTCTAACTGGTTTTAACGTGTATTCTTCGCTGTGTTTCTAAGTGCTTTACATAAAATAAAGCACTTCAAGTATTATTGAATTTTAATCTACTCCCACTTCTCCATGTGCTCAGTTAACTTGGTCAGCAAGAAGACTTTACAGCATGAATATTTTTTAAAAGGTTAGAAAGACACAGACATTCATAGCATTCCATCCTTGAAGCACTTCAAGTATTATTGAATTTTAATCTACTCCCACTTCTCCATGTGCTGTTAACTTGGTCAGCAAGAAGACTTTACAGCATGAATATTTTTTTTAAAGGTTAGAAAGACACAGACATTCATAGCATTCCATCCTTAGTTCCTGACTTCCTGAGAGATGCTTCCTTCTGCTGGGCATGCTGCAACATGCCTGTAATCCCAGCACTCAGGAAGGGAAGCAGGAGAATTTCAAGCTCCAGAGCAGCCCGGACTACATAATGGGTAGTCATGATTCTTTATTTTATTTTCTTTGCTAAAACTTTCAAGAATAAAAACTGCATGCAAATATACAACGGAAAGCATTGGCATCAATCACGACTGACTCAGTAGTGTTGAAATATTTGTTCAGTTCCACTATGAGTGAAAAGTTTGTGCAAGATAAAAATGTAGAGACACTCTAGACCTTTCCACAGCTTCACATGAAGTTATTCCTTCTTTCTAGAAGTTGGTTGCATCTTTTCTGACTTTCATATGTGGAGTCCCTGGCATCATAGGTTTCATTTCTTCCAGAATTTATGTGTTCACTGTGTAGCATCATCAGAAACCTAATGGACCAAAGCTGTGCCCACCTTGATCATCCATCTTGACTGCATGGTGAATATTATGGACATTTAATACAATAATGCCTCTTATTACTCATATCCACACTTTTAAATTGCCTCATCACTTTATAACAGAACTTTGTTATAAAACCCATCCCCTTGGGTGTCTCTTACCATCTTCCTGAGCACCACTCTTTATTAACTTTATGATCTGCGTCATGCTAGCTTGTCCTGAAATTCTTTTCTGTGTTAAAGCCAAGGATCCAGTTTCACCTGAATCAAGGTCCCTTAAAGATTAAGAAAACTGCTCAGACTGCTGTGGGTGGCAGTGTGGAGCTATGTCTCCACCCCTGCCAATGCTAACAGTGGGGTCAATTTTCTTTACTAGAATAGATTTATTCTGAATATGAATCTTGATTATCAACTCTACATGTGTGTTAGTTTTGTGTCGTGCAATACCACAGAGGACAGAAGAGGGCAGCAGATCCCCTGGAATTGGAGTTGTTAGTTGCCATGTGGGTGCTGGGATTCAAACCCGGGTCTTCTGCTCCATCTCTCCAGCCCCCACAATGTTTCTTATAAACAAGGGTGTTTTCATAATGTGTGTGATGTGCATATATGGCCTTTTATATATATATTATTTTTTCTGCACTCTTGAGAATTTCCTATGTGTATACAAATAAATGGCCATATCACTCCCCTGTCGTTCCCCACAAATTTTCCCTATCATGGCCTCTTCCCGATCTCATGTCCTCTTGTCCTTGTTCTTGTTGTTGTTGTTACTAATCCACAAAGAACAGCTAATGTAGCCAATGTGTATAGTATGTGTATGGGACACCCATGGAGTGTGGGAAATCTACCAACGGCGAACATTCAAAAAGGAATGATTCTCCCTCCCACAGCAGCTGACAACTACCAATAGTTCCTCGGGAAGGGGCAGGGCCTGGAGAGCACCTCCCTCATCTGTGCGGGAATTTGAGATGAATTCATCTGGAGCAGGCTTGTGCAGGTAACCACATCTGCTGGGAGCCCATGAGTGCAACACCCCGGCCAAGCCAGAAATTTGCATTTCTCAGCACTTCTTCCGAACATCCTCAGGCTCACATTCTTTCTGCTTCTTTTTCCTGCTGCTCCCTGAACTTGGGTGGTGGTAGAGGGGTTGCTGATGGTGTCCCATTTAGGGCTGAACGCTCAGTCTCTTATTCTAGCCCTTTGTCCTGTTGTTCTCAGCACTGATTGCTGCCCACTGCAGAAAGAAGCTTCTCTGGCTGAGGTTGAGAGCAGTTCAGGTTTTTGTGTATAAACAAAGAATTTAAAAGGCAATTGGATCACATAACCATTAGCAAAATAACAGTAGCAGGTTCTTCCCTGGGCCTGTGACCTCCTCAATTCATGGACTTTTGATCGCGATTGCAGTACCAGGTATAAAATTCTCTCCTCTGGCACAGGCCTCAGCTCCAATCAGAATGCAGTTCATTGCTCCATAACAGCTATGTCATTGCTGCACTTTTCTTCTCCATCTCACTTAATCATCTTTTCTTTTGAGACAGGGTCTCACTATGCAGCCCTGGAACTCTATGTAGATCAAGCTGGCTTAGAACTTTTAGATATCCACCTACCTCTGCCTTCCAAGTGCTGGGATTAAAGGTGTGGGTCACCATGCCCAGGCCCCACTTAATCTTTTAACGTCAGTATCCCCCCTCGCTTCTTCCATATCACAGGTGTTCTGTCCATCCAGTTATATTTTGTAATGAGGCTGTATAACTGACCACTTTCTGCTTACCTGACTTTCACCTGTGCTCCAAGTTAAACACACAAAATAAGAAATTTGAAGCTAGGTGGCACATCTAACTCCAATACTGAGGAAGCAGAGGCAGGTAGAACTCTGTGAAATCTAGGCCAGCCTGGTCTACATAATGAGTTCTAGGCCAGCTGGGGCTACAAGGAGACCCTGTCTCAAAAAATTTTTTTAAATTTTTTAAACTTCCTTTTGGAGCTGGAGAGATGGCTTAGTGGTTAAGAGCACTGACTATTCTTGCAAAGAACGTGGATTTGGTTCCCAGTACCCATATGGTAGTAACAACTGTCCATAGCTCCATTTCTCCACAGGCATTGCATGACAGTGAACTGAATCCAGGTCCTCTGGAAGAGCAGCCAGTACTCTTAACTTTTGAGCCATCTTCCCAGCCCCCAGTCTGCTTTCTTTCTTTTTTAAAAAATATTTTATTATTTTATTTTGTGTTTGAGTGTAT